TACGGTCCTCAATTGTTTTTCTCCAGTACTTTGTCTAGTAGCGCGTCCAGCCATGGGAAGTTTAGCGCCAATAATACTGCAAACTGCCTGTACGGCGCCAAAAAGAATTGAGTCCCTCTCGCAAAAGTCCCATCTGGCTTCCAAATAGGTCACCAGCATGGGTTTAAGAGAGCCCACACGACAACCCGACGAACCCAAAGCAAGCGGTGCTTTGGGTATGCGGGGAAATCGCGGTTGATTTTCCAGAGGCGTCCTGCGCGATTCCGACATCACCTCTTCCAATATGCTCCTCATTTTCTCTAGTTCGTGGGAGACTATTCCATCATCGTCTGAATAAATCACAACTGGAATATCCACGGCGGCATCCACGTATGCAGGTTGTTGAATAATTAGTGACGTCGCATTCCCAGCCGTAGCATTTTCATCCTATGAGGGAACAGCCTCACGTCGTAGTCGTTTGAGTTCGGCGTCACCAAATATGTTGGAGCGCAGGATGTACCGAACTCGGTCTGCCAGGTTTTGCTCAGTGACGGATAGAGATGGCTCCAGCTCTGCAAAAAGCAATGCATCCGAGCCCGATACGCCAACCTTCCAGTTTCTTCCCCTTTTGCCCTAAAATAAGCTTGCAATGCGTTTGAGTTCACTGTTTGTGACCAACGCATGCGGCGTGCTCCACCAGCGGCGGGTGCCGCTTGCTGAGTCCGAGAAGACCCAGCCGACACCAAGGCTTCTGGTGGGGACGCGGAGGGCTGCTAGGTGGTCTTGCAGCATCCCACGCTTGGCCACGGTCCCCACGGTCGCTTCCAGCGCCAAAATGCATTATTATTATTGGGGTATCTAATGGGTTTTTCAACAAGAATTTTGTTTTTCAATTGGGGCAACACCAACAACATGACAGTTTTGATTTTAGTTTTTTGACCTATTCGTAGTAGATGCTTTGGCAATTGCTACAATGAATTCAATTTCGCTCGAAAATCGCATTAAAATAATTAATATCCACTATGAAAATGGTGGTTCCGTTAAAGTTACGTTTCGTAAAATTCCTGATATTTTCGGACAACATAATCGTCCTTCTGAGACCGCTATTAAGAATTTGGTCGCTAAATTTGAATCGACAGGCTCGGTACAAAATGTGCCAACACCAACGCGTGTTCGACCGGGTCGTTCAACCGAAAACATCGCAGCCGTGAGCCACAGTGTTGAAGAAGATCCAAATTTGTCAATTCCTCGACGAACTCAACAATTGGGGTTATCCAAAACCACCACATGGCGAATTTTGTGTAAGGATTTGGCTTTGAAGCCTTACAAGGTTCAACTGGTGCAGGAATTGAAACTGATCGACCATTCACATCGCCGTAGATTCGCTCAATTCATTCAGGAACAGCCCGCTGGTTTTTCTGAAAAAATCATTTTTTCAGACGAAGCCCATTTTCACTTGTCAGGGTACGTCAACAAGCAAAATTGCCGCATTTGGGCTTCTGAAAATCCTAAAGCGATTATTGAGAAGCCTTTACATGCTCAACGTGTCACTGTATGTGGTCTGGAGGTGTGATTGGGCCGTTTTTTTTTTCGAAGAAGAGGCTGGAAATGCGGTAACGGTCAATGGATCACGCTATCGCGAGATGTTAACATCTCAATTTTGGCCTATTATTGATGACATCGATATCACAAACATGTGGTTTCAACAGGACGGTGCCACATGTCACACAGCCAACGAAACGATCAATTTATTGCAAACCAAATTACCCGATCGCATAATTTCACGAAATTCAGCTGTTAAATGGCCAGCCAGATCGTGTGATTTAACACCACTGGATTATTTTTTGTGGGGCTATGTTAAGGACAGAGTCTATACGGAGCCAATCGAATCGATCGCGGCCTTAAAACTCAAAATCCGTGACGTGATTAACGAAATAGACCCGCCATTTTGCCAAAAAGTGATTAAAAACTTTGATGAAAGAATCGACATCTGTCAGCGTGGTCGTGGTGGACATTTGCCAGATATCATTTTTCATTTATAATTGCCAAACTTTTCTCTTCGTAATACAATAAAAATTTGAATCATCTTCATCTAAACTCTTTGTTTTATTTTGTTTTAGAAAACAAAGTTCTTGTTGAAAACCCCTTTATATAGTTTTCTCATCTGTTTGGGTTCCATAAATCTATAATTGTGAATGATAAATATACATAAATATTAATAAAATAAATAATACATAAATAAATAAAAGCCAAACCAGATGGAAGCCCTCAATTCCTCTTTATTATTATTACTATTATAATTAAAATATAATTTTATACGTGGTAGAGACATGCTGCAGTTATATTAGTAGTATAGTTGTAGCACGAATGGGTTGGCTCGACCGGGGAAGGACCACGCTCTTACAGAATACCAGCGTGAAATAGCAGCTTAATGCTACTGTATTTCGTATGGTGAGTGTAAAGAACCGGAGACCCTTTTTACTGGAAACGAGGCATTCCATTTCCATCTTAAGCGCCCTCCACATTCACGCCGTGAACATCCGTGAAAGGCGTGAACCGCGATTGTGGATGGCTTTCGCGCTCGTTCACGGGCTTCGCGCCTTTTCACGCCATGTTCCCCGTTCAGTGTAGGTGTTTTGTGCCCACGTCAAAGGGTTTACGACGCGTGAACCTCCCGTGAACGCAAGCGCATCCACACTCGCGCGTGAAAACAGTAACGTGCGAGACTCGTTGCTGTGAGGTTGTGCTTATTTGTATTTTTTTACGGAGGACGGTGCGTCAAAATGAGCGTCAGTTGGACGAACGAGCAGGAACTCTTGTTGATCGAGTATTATCATGCCGAACCCATTTTGCTAAACATAAAGATCATAAAAATAAAATGAAAGTACATGACGCTTGGATACGAATAAAGGAAATAATGAATATTATTTTATTTTATTTTATAGGATAGGGTGACAAACGAGCACAAAGTCCACCTGATGGTATGTGGATGCTGTATTCTATAGACATCTACATCTATCCTCGATTACGAATCAAAATGCAGATGCGTTGTCACCCGTGAGGACTAGAATGGAATGCCTCGTTTCCAGTAAAAAGGGTCTCCGGTTCTCTACACTCACCATACGAAACACAGCAGCATTAAGCTACTATTTTACGTGTGGTATTCTGTGAGAGCGTGGTCCTTCCCCCGTCGAGCCGAACCATTCGTGTTACAACTATACTATTAATCTAACTGCAGCATGGCTCTACCACAAAAAGCGTTGAAGTGACTGATTGAAAAAAAAGAAAGTCTAGTGTCCAGTTATAGAAATTATAAGAAAAAGGTGAAGGAGTCTGAAAGGAAGTCTGTAGCAAGCAGCGACAAAATTTACAAGCCCATTTGAATTGCCTTTGATGTGATCGATGCTTTTCTAGAAGAAAGCGATAATTGTAATAAAAAAACTACAAATACGGTTTTTTTTTATCTTTTATATACTACACGTAACTGTCGTGAGCCAAAGCATATAGCGTCACGGCATTAGCAGTGCATATTTCAGCGTCCATTCTCGACGAGCGCGCGAACTAAACTGTGAACGATTGCGAATGTGGAGGGATGTTTTTCGCGACGAGTTCGCGGCAAAATTACGGCGTGAATTCACGCCGTGAATCACACGGGAGTCTGGAGCCCGTATTAGTCCTCACGGGTGACAACGCATCTGCATTTTGATTTGTAATCGAGGATAGATGTAGATCTCTATGAGCCACAGCAACCACTTACCATCAGGTGGACTGTGTGCTCGTTTGTCATCCTATTCTACATATATATAATTAGTTGTCTTTAATGGATATTAATTAACAGTGAGCTAAATTATCATTTTTGAAATGAAACAAGGAGAATAATAAAAAATAATAATTAATGCAATTGTAAAAACACAAATAACACATATTTCAAGGACAATAAACATGTTTTCTTAAAAATATATAATACTATTTAATTTCAGACGATGATGAATCTGAAAATTAAAAGAATCTGAAATCGAATACCAATGTGTATACATTGGTACTCGATTTCAGATGATATTAAGATCACTTTTATTTCAGCTTCTTTCCAAGAGTCATGATTAATACTAAACTACTAACTTACTTCTCTACCTTAGCAAACCTAACAAAAATGTTCATTCATAGGTTATCCCTATAATTTCGTATATTTTCATAGACATCCAGTACTTGCACATTTTCATGCATATGTTAGTGAATAAACAGGACTGAGATAAAATTTTATCAATAATCTTAATATCTAAGGAAATAAGGTTATAAGGTTAAGGTAAGGAAATAAGGTTGAATATTATTTGTAATAAGGACAATTTGATATTTTGTCTACGTTTTTTACGTTTCTATTCAAAAACGAAATTGACTGACTTTGGTACGAAACACCACCATTCAAAATGTTAATCTTTTAGCTTGCATTTTTACACCCAACTTTGCACAAAACGGCATATTTTCGGATATATCACTAGCAGCGACACGTTAGCTCGCGCCTGTTGAGCCTGCGACCGACAGTCAATTAGGCTTTACTATCCCTAATTGTGGCGCGCCTGCTCCACCCACTTTGTGTTTCCTCTTGTTTTATATATTTCGTGTTCCATAACTATAACAATATGTCCAGAGAAGAAAGGGCTTTATTGACGTAGACATAAGGTTGCGTCTTGTTTGTTGTTAGTTGTTTGTATAAATAATTTAAGCGATATCTATTTTTATGCCAACACATTACCGACCCTTACTATCGGGAGCATTCTCATGCAAAGTAAGGCAATACGCAACTGGCTGTCGTAACATTATATAAATTAAATATCTGTGTTTCATATGTTAATGTACGGTTGTATAATACAACTTGCTCAATAGACCTAAAAAATTAATGAATTACGATCGAATTTTGGCCACTAAGCGCCCAATAGTGTACACATAAATGACACTGAGGACAAAATATTGGTTTCATCTTAAGTGAACTACATAATCTATCTACTCTTACAGATACCACTAACCTGCGGAGTTCGTAAGAGTTCTCGTCGATTTGGTCCGGTTTATTTTCAGTCTTCTCACTGTTCGGGTTCAGTAAAGATTTCATTGAGACATCTTCGTTTGAAGGATCCGTTTCAGCCTCCTATTAAACATATATAAATAACAAATTAACTGCCTCTTTAGTCTAGTGGCTGCTGATTATAAGGTCTTGGGTTCGAATCACGTGTCGACCCAAAATCAGTTATTGAGTTTTTCTGTTAAGTAATTCTCAGAAGGACCAGTAAGGAAGTTGGCGGTGTTTCAATTCCGCGCCTCGATAAGTATCTAAAGCCGCTGGTCCTGTGCCTAATGTCTCGCCAGTCGTGTCGGAATATCGTCCCGTTGGACTATGAGAGTTAGGGAACAGAGAGTGCACATGTGCTTGCGTGTACATATAAGCACTACAGTCTTGTGCTGAGCAGTGTACTTTCACAAGAAGTTTTCTTCCGCGTACGACCTCTCTGTGGAATAGTTTACGACCGGCAATTTTTCCGGACCGATACGACCTGGGGACCTTCAAGAAAAGAGCTTACTCCTTTCTAAAGGGCCGATAGCACACCTTCAATTCCTCTGGTGTTGCGGTTGATCATGGGCGGCGGTAGTCACTTAACATCAGGTGAGCCGCATGCTCGTTTGCCCCCTCTCCTATAAAAAATATAAATATATAAAAGGATATATATTTGATGTTATCAAAGCTATATTTATCTTTTACGGAGGCAAGTGCGGAGGCAGTGGTGCGAATATATATATATATATATATATATATATATATATATGAGTACCATATATATATATACATATATATAATATTGAAGCCAATATTATATAAATTAGAGTACGTAAATCATACCTCGGGGTCGAGCAGCGTGAGGTACACCTTGCGCAACATGTTGTAACAGATCTTTTGGATGAAGGTCATGCAGCGTCGCACCCCTTGCGTCTTCAGCATTTCATAGTGGTAGTCCCTGAAATTTAAATAATCAGTTCAACGACAGGTCGACGTCAGAGTGGCATTGACATTAGTCTTATATAACAGTTACACAAAGAGTCAGTAATTCCTTAATAGGGCAATGTATACGCTTTTACATTAAAGTGCCAGAAAATATAATCAGGAGCTACCTATCAAAAAGTAATTTTTATTAAGCAAAAATTGTTTAGTAATGGTTATTATACTATTAAAGAGTACATTATCGATAGTAACCCGTGCAATGAGGTGATTGGAGTCTCGTTGGGTTTCTTGCTGGTTCTTGTCAGAATAGGATTTTTTCCGAACCAGTAGTAAAACTTAAATGGTTTTCAATGAGTATTCTTGTAATCTATATTAAAAATATGATTCTATTGTATTTTATAATCTATACTAGATATAACCTATGGTTATTGCTTTCTTAAAAGATGGTTCAATTATGGTTGTTTTCAATTACATAAATTGAAATTATTTAGCCATAACATCCCTCCTTTTTGAGCTAAGTTAGAATAGAAATAGCAGACTCCTATGTATACTACTAGATCGACAATTCAGAAAAAATAGGAAATATAAATTTACATACATAACTGAAATAAATTTTAAATCAAAACAAAGTGCGCATAAATACTGACACCGTTTTCTTAGTCACATAAAACCGAATTAGTGTTAGATTGTCAAAATCAACGTTCGCGGTTTACAAAACAAAGAACTAGTCTTTTCGCGATCTCACACTAAACTAAAAGAACTACGAAAAACTGAGCGTCACTTAGTGCACAATGTATCAAGATTAAAACCGCAGTCCGTTTCGTTGTATACATAGAAGTCTTTAGGAAAAAGTATGAAATGTGACGCATATTAAACATCCCCCCCCTCTCCCCGAGTGTGGCGGCGCACCTGTAGAGCGGCACGTCCGTGTTGCCCAGCAGACGCAACTGCGCCAGCTCGTGCAGCGCGCCCAGCCGCAAAGGATCATCATCTCCACCAGCCCCACCAGTCTCACTAGCCTCACCAGCTTCACGCACATGCAAGCTTCCGTCCTCCGATACAATGATCTCGGGAGTGCAGTCGCCCATGCACTCTGGAATTCACACACGTATTACTCAGTGACGGTGCTCGCCTCAATTTACTTTTTTTAAATGAAAACTTTAAAATTGTTGTAATTTAAAAAAGAGATAAACATATACATCTATAGGATTTAGCCTGCGAGAGAATGAGATAGAATACAGTATACAGTGTTTCCGATTATCTCGGTCTCCTTTTCTGTAGGTTTAGGTGCAAATAGTTGCAGTGAAACTTCGTCGAAATCGTTGTGATTTGAAACTCGATGAAACGAAAAAGCGACACTTAAAGGAGACAAACATATATTTAACCTGCGAGAGAATGAGATAGAATACAGTATACAGTGTTTCAGATTATCTCGGTCTCCTTTTCTGTAGGTTTAGGTGCAAATAGTTGCAGTGAAACTTCGTCGAAATCGTTGTGATTTGAAACTCGATGAAACGAAAAAACGACACTTAAAGGAGACAAACATATATTTAACCTGCGAGAGAATGAGATAGAATACAGTATACAGTGTTTCAGATTATCTCGGTCTCCTTTTCTGTAGGTTTAGGTGCAAATAGTTGCAGTGAAACTTCGTCGAAATCGTTGTGATTTGAAACTCGATGAAACGAAAAAGCGACACTTAAAGGGGACAAACATATATTTAACCTGCGAGAGAATGAGATAGAATACAGTATACAGTGTTTCAGATTATCTCGGTCTCCATTTCTGTAGGTTTAGGTGCAAATAGTTGCAGTGAAACTTCGTCGAAATCGTTGTGATTTGAAACTCGATGAAACGAAAAAGCGACACTTAAAGGAGACAAACATATATTTAACCTGCGAGAGAATGAGATAGAATACAGTATACAGTGTTTCAGATTATCTCGGTCTCCATTTCTGTAGGTTTAGGTGCAAATAGTTGCAGTGAAACTTCGTCGAAATCGTTGTGATTTGAAACTCGATTAAACGAAAAAGCGACACTTAAAGGAGACAAACATATATTTAACCTGCGAGAGAATGAGATAGAATACAGTATAGCAAACGACAGTAACCTAATGATAGAATGCGGACCAAGAACTGAAACGATTGTAGGTTCCAATCCGCCATTAGACTATTTTTGTTATAGAATACTACTGTCGTGAACTCTTATTTACATACACATATATATTATAAGTATCAAATAAGTTTCCTTACCAGACCTACTATCGATTCCGCTGTCCACTACATCCTCTCGTTCTTGGCAATTCTTGTGCCCTTCACACTTGGTTTGTTCATCGATGCCATCTTTCGCTGCCTCCTTTCCGTCCACGACGTCGGCTGGGTCTTGCTTTTCCTCCAGAGACAGGCCATTAGCGGGACCAGGGTTTTTTTCCGCAGGCCTGGTGTCTGCAGACCTGATGTCCACAGGCTTGGACGTATCTGAGTACGCACTTGCATCGCTGCTGGTGGAGTCTGTAGGCGTGCTGCTGAGATCAAAGCGCACTTGGCTCGCCCGGTGATTCTCAGACGATTTACTGCTAATGAATATTAAGAGCAACTACTATTGTATTTCCTTTTTTTGTATTGGATTCGTATACATATAGGTGCATTTGCCAATGTGAAATAATCTGATCTGCAATTATATATTTATTGTCAGAATCCAAAAGTAGCTACCAATTTCTTATTTACAGTTAACTGATTTTTATTATCCAATAAGCCAGTGTTTAAGAATCTGCGTGATCTATGAATATCGACTTGGAATAAAATTGAATCATTTACAAAAAAAAATCAAAATTAATAAAGGCCAGTACACACATATCATTCATTTTCATTTTCTTCATTATTATATAAACCGATCCGAGAAATTCAATGACGATGGAGTTTCGCCATGCGAAATTAATATTAAGCCAATTTCCTGTTGATTATTCGATTTACGTGAACATGATGTGATGAACGGAAATCCATTATATTAAAGTTTCTAAAAATTACTGGGGCAACTAAATTATGGGGGCAACCCCATCCGCTAAACGGCGGATCCGCTAACGGATGTGGGCGAAGTAATAATTTTTACCAACTTTATTCCTTAATTATTCTTCTTTTGATCTTTCGATTTTAGAAAAAATCGCACAATTAATAAAAAAAATGGTGGTCTGTAAAGTCGGTTTACGGACGAAAGTTTAACGTGACAACGTCATAACAAAACATTGATGAAACGATTGCATACATATTCATGCGGCGCAAGCCGAACGCTCAAACCGATCGTGCCTTTCGCTCGTTCATGCCACGCTCTCTATCCGATCGTGCTCGGCTCGGCTGGAGCGCAACGGGACAATGAGTCATCCTTTTTCGTGCAATGCAGCCGGCGTTCATCGACTTATTAGAAGTCGTCACGTCAAAAATGAATAAGGTGACCATTTGTATAACAGATTAGTTTTTCGTGTTCAGAAGAACCTTTAAATAAATTTCAGCTAATGATGAGATGACAAAAAATTCAGTATTACAATTTGCACCATTTACCATAATCGATAAAGCTCAATACTTTGTGTGCAATCTTAAGAGCGCGTACAAAGCTCTAGTTTCAACGAAGCGATTGTGACTGATCCATAGTAGTAGTAGCATATATTTTGAGTCCTATTGAGATAAACGTCCGTCTTTCGCGAGATAAAATGATGTATTTGACAAAATTTATTTTAATTGAATTAGTATTTTGTAAGTTATAGCAAATATTAAAAACTTTAGTGACATTATAGCAAATATTAAAAACCATAGTGACATTGTAGCAAATATTAAAAACTGGTGACCCACAATCAGTTTCAGTGATTGTATACATGTTATTTTTGTCCTTAAAATTCGTACTCCATTAAGAATAGAACCCAAAGAGCCGAAAAAATAGATAACTTTATGTTTCTTTTATGTATCGAAAACATATTATTTATTTGAAAAATTACAGCACATGGAATGAAATTGAGTTATTCTTAGATATGTTTCTTTTCAGTTACGGATTTACTATAGTAAATTTAATTCCAATTTGCGTGAGTTTTTCCTGTGTGCGGTTTTAATTTACTTCTGATACTGTGCGTTTATATGAGACATTCTTGAAATTAGTCGATCACTTCCTAACGCCTCTTATGACTATATTCGATAATGATTTCTTATATTTACGCGAACACTACACATTGAAATAATACTAGTTTTTACGGAATTTATCGCGTATATTTAACTTTTTAATTACCCGACGTTTCGAGAGCTTTACAGCACCCATGGTCACGGGAAGGACTGAGATGTTCAACGTCCAGCTGTCATAGTTAACCGCGGTTACCATAGATTAAAATTTAACTTTTGTTCCGATCTACACAGTATGAACTTATGGTATCATGGAGTCTTGCAGTTGTATGCTTGGGTTGGGATTTAATTTTATTTATTATAGGATCCCAAGCAGATGGTAGCACCCAGCCATCTTCTCTATTGAAATTAGGATGTTTTTTGATTTCAATAGCCTCGCGAATCATCCTTGGAAGGAATCGGTGTTCTTTAGCGAGGATTTGTGGTCTATCAAATCTGATGTAGTGACGGGGGCGATCCTGTACATGTTCACAGACTGCAGACTTCCCGGAGCGTCGATTCTTCACATCAGCTATATGTTCTTTGACGCGGGTTTTAATGGATCTTTTAGTTTGTCCTATGTAGGAGAGACCACATTCACAATCAAGCTTGTACACTCCTGCATCTTGCAGAGGGACGTTACACTTGACTGATGGTAAAAACTGACCAATCTTCTTCGGCGGCTTGAAGTATGTTTTGATGGAAGCGCGCTTCAAGATGTAGCCAATCTTGTCAGTGACTCCTCTAACATATGGCAGTACAGCAGGTACACGCTCGACTGTGGCCGGCTTCACTCGTTCTCTGTGACGTAGGCGCGGGACCCGAAGCTTGTTGTCATGCAAAACTTGCTTGACATGTTGGAGCTCGGCAGCCAGGTGTTTACTGTCACAGATCCCTCGTGCTCTCTGAAACAAAGATTTACCCACGGTAGCTAACTGTGAAGGATGGTGGTGAGAATCACCGTTTAAATATCTATCTGTATGGGTCTTTTTTCTATACACAGTATGGCTCAAGGTGTTATCAGGATTCCGAATTACTAACACATCTAGAAAAGCTAAGGAATTGTTTGCCTCTAACTCCATTGTGAACTGAATTTTAGAATTTATAGAGTTAAGATGGTCTAAAAATGCAGTTACTTTATCTAAAGGTAGAATTGTGAAAGTGTCGTCTACGTACCGCTTGTAGAAACTTGGATTTATGGGAGAAGTAAGCAGGGCTTTCTCCTCAAAGTCTTCCATGAATATATCGGCGACAATGGGAGATACAGGTGAGCCCATCGCCACACCATCTACTTGCTTGTAGAACTCCTCCTTCCACAATAGGTAGCCAGATGTAAGGCAGTGTCTGAGTAATACTGCATATTCTACGGGCATGTTGTTTTCTTCCAGCCTTCTAGTTACAATTGAGATGCAGTCTTCAACAGGTAAGCATGTAAACAATGACTGCACATCAAAACTGACCATAGTTTCATTGTCTGCCAGACGTAGGTCTTTAATCTCGCTGACAAAATGGTAGGAATCCTTTATGTGTGCTCTTGTATGTCCCCTGAGCGGTGAGAGTATTTTCGCTAAGTGTTGAGCCAATCTGTAAGTTGGTGAATCGATTTGGCTCACTATGGGGCGTAATGGAGCATTGGGCTTGTGTATTTTTGGTAACCCATACAACTTTGGTGATTTGGCGCACGTAGGTATTATCCATTTTACATCCAGATTTAATTTTTCGGAGTGTTTCTTTATGAGGTCACTAGTTGTTTTTAGTGTGCTATTTGTTGGGTCGTTTTTAACCTTTTTATAAGTACTTACATCCGACAAAAGTTCTTGTATTTTAGAATTATAATCTGACGTATCCATGACTACCGTGGCGTTTCCCTTATCTGCGCGGAGAATCCATGATACCATAAGTTCATACTGTGTAGATCGGAACAAAAGTTAAATTTTAATCTATGGTAACCGCGGTTAACTATGACAGCTGGACGTTGAACATCTCAGTCCTTCCCGTGACCATGGGTGCTGTAAAGCTCTCGAAACGTCGGGTAATTAAAAAGTTAAATATACGCGATAAATTCCGTAAAAACTAGTATTATTTCAATGACTATATTCGATTTTAATGTATGATTAATCGACGATTGTAATTTAATAGGTATCCAGAGACTACGTATACGGACGTGCGTGTGATTGAAACTTGAGTTACCACTTTCTCTGTTCGGTTTGCTGACACAATAGTAATGAGCCATATGTAGGTGACAGAACAAAGAAACGCCTAAGACTGCATGTGCGTGCATGCACACCTCATGCGTGTATACGTACCCCGTGCGCTGCGACGCTGTGCGGTGCGCTGCGGAGGCGCGCGAGCTGCGCAGCATGCGGCGCAGCGAGACCATCTTCAGCCGCATGTGCAGCGCCGTGTTGTACCACAGGCACATTGCCTGCACGTGAACCACGTCTTGTTACACAGCGCACACATACAACTAACACTACATAAAGCATACAGTGTAAGTGCTGTTCTGTTTGGTAATTGGGTTTGTACCATTAGAATTATGCCGGTGTCAAGTATTACGAAATTATCTTATTACAATAATGTTACTTCTTTACAATGTGATACGTCACACTGTGGTTTTTGAGAGATTTGAAAGGTAGCTCGATCCAGTAGACAATCGATGACGATAGCATCTCAAGGCGCACACGTTATACTGAGTTTCACGTCACCAACCGAGCACACACGTGCAGAAAATTAATACACAAAGCCGCACCACTTTTAAATCTCATGATCTACTTAAAAACATTATTAAAACAACAATACAGGAACAACAATCCGCCACTGAACAAGTTCCCGCCAAAACTCAAATAGTACTGTATTACGGGTGGTCGTGTACGTCGTAAATACAGTGCAGTATCTTTGAAATATATAGGTGGCGTAGTGCATGTGTAAGGTAATGTAGTGTGTTGTGCTAGATTATTATTATAATTTTTACATATGTTGTGGTATTGTTTCGTATAGTATCGTGTAGTGTAGACTTGCGTAACAGTACGACGCAATATAATGTTATATGGAATGGAGTATACGACATGGTTTAATGTGGTTGTTAATTAGTGTCATGTGGTTTCGTATCGCGTAATGCTTAGCGTTATGGTGCGCTGTTGTGTAGCGTGACATAGTGTGGTCTAGTGTGTAATACGGCATAGCGTAGCGTTAAGTAGTATATGAAGTGATATGACGTAATACACACGATGTGATATGGTGTACCATAGTTAAATGTGATACAGAGTAGTATTGTTCGGTAAGGTGTGGTAACACTCACTCGGATCCTATTCTTAAGGCGCGGTTGCGCGAGGCACGGCTGATCAGCCTCCGCAGCAGAGCTGGACGGATACAGAGCGATGACAGCATAGAACGCGTCCAGCAGTGACGAAATTTCCCGCATGGCAACGCCAACACTTTCGGGACATATCGAACACCCTGGCGACAGGCACGTCTGCGACTCTGCGTTTCCAAATATAAGTATTGGTCCTACTCCATCTTTATTACATTCAATTCCTATAACTAGATTTTTTACATATATTATATTTTAAAGGTGACAAACGAGCACACGGTCCACCTGATGGTAAATAGACACTGTGTACCATAGACATTTACATCCATCCTCGATTAAGAATCAAAATGCAGATGAGTTGTCACCCCTAAGGACTAAGATGGAATACCTCGTTTTCAGTAAAAAAGCCCTCTGGTTCTTTACACTCACCATACGAAACAGCATTAGGCTGCTATTTTGCGCTGGTATTCTGTGAGGGCGTGGCTCCTACCCTTAGATTAGAAATATAAGCATTGATGTTACTCCATCCTTATAACAATCAATTCTTATAACTACATTTCAAGCACTCAGGCGACAGGCACGTTTGCGAATCTGCAGTCACAAATATAAACATTCATCCTACTCTATCCTTATCACAATCGATTCTTATAACTTCATTTCACCAACCTGTCTTAGATATAGAAAAAAATGCGTCCCAAAGAATAATGCAATACAAGATTCTCTTTTTCTTATTTCATTGTACCCGACCCGAATACAAGTCACTAGCCCATGTAGGCGATATATTAATAGTAGTAGTAATAATGCTCAACATTGTTCAAAGCTGGAAGCAATGATTTGCAATTAATATGGAGCAATAATTTTCGTTCGTTCAAAATCGTGAATCTTCGAAACTTCTTCATAGATTACTTTAAAATTTTGAGACAAGGTTGCATTGGATTACACGCGCGTACATGCGTAGCCGGGTACATTCACAACCGGGGTACACAAATAGTTACTAAAAATATAATGCATAACAAAACAATACATACATGTATAAGGTAGCACATACTTACCATTTTCTACATCGTCTTGTTCCGATTCATCAGTAGATGGGCACTTGTACGGATTTACAAATCTATAAATAAAGTATAGCGTTAAGAAACGAAATATTTTAAAAATACAGCGATTGACTCGACTCTTACGTAATTTAAAAAGCCAATTATTCCTTATCGAAAAAAAAACAAATTTCATGTTTACCAGCTTTAATAATTATTTTATTTTTTTATTTATCCATTGTTGTATACCTTCAACTATTGCAGTAAAGATTGTCTTTTTTAAAAGAATCCAAAAGAATCATCCTAACAGTGCGTGCGTGTGCACGTGTAGGTGCGTATGTGCGTGCAAGTGTACGTGTATAAGTGCGTGCGCAAGTGTGTAATTATATGGATACGTGTGTGCGTGTGTGCATGTGAGCAGGTGTGCCTATGTGCGTGCGATTTTACGTGTATACGTGCGTGCATACGTCACATGTAGTGGTGATAGGCGCGCTGCGCACACACGAAGGCGTCCTGCCGCAGGGGACTGGGAGTGCGTGCGTGTGTATATCTGTGTGTGTGCGTGCGTGTGTACACCACCTGTAGTACAGGATAATGCGCACGACGGCGTGCTAAGCGCACAGGAAGGCGTCCTGTCGCGGGGGACTGGGTGTGCGTGCGTGTGTATACGTGTGTACGTGTGTGTGCGTTCGTGTGTACGTCACCTGTAGTGCAGTATGGTACGCACGACGGCGGGCACGGCGGCACGCTGCGCGCACAAGTAGTCGTCCTGCTGCGGGAGGCTGCGGCCGGCCACGCGCGCCGCCAGCCCCAACCAGATTAGGTCCTTTAGCTCGTTCTGCCACACCTGCTCCTCACGGCTGATCTGTACACGCACCCACCTCACATCAACACATGCCACTCGACAAATGACTCCAGTCCACAACGTAAAACTAATTTATAATGGAAAACCTAAGGAGTATTAAAATCAAAAAGAAGCGCAAAGTGAGTGGCCACTAATAGGCGCAATACTGTTTATTTGACTGTAATGAATTAATAATTTTGTTATCATACTTTAAACATCGATAGGTTGTTCTTTTATTATTTCATCATATAATTGTTCGAGTAGCAGGTAAGGTACGATAAGTAAACTTGAATCCGATCAGCATTGTGCCAACCATTATGTTATTATTGCGACATTTACTGATTTTTGATAAAAGATATAATATTCTATATTCGTACGAACTTACGCGTTTACACACTGATTAAGATATTATTGCGACATCTCACGTCAATGCTTCAAGAAACCTGAACAACTTAACGAAACAGCGATCGCAGAAATATTAGCCGACGTCAACTCGTTTAGTAACTACGTAGACAAGTCAAATACTATAGTTTATATAGTTTATAAACTGCAGAGATAAAAAGTATTAGTACTAAGCGCTAGCTATAAACTTTGCCTACCTAGCTTTACTTTGCCTAAACCGATAATTTGGATTTCATTAGCAAGCTATTCAAGCTAGAGACTATTTTATGGTACGATTTATGTCGCATGCCAACGCTTACTTTTGGTTCTGGCAAAAAAGTTGTGAAACGTATGTGAACGTCAGAACTGTGCAAATGGTGGTCGCAGATATTTTTCCAGCACTTCAAAATTTTATTGTGTGAGTACTTTAAACTATTTTTACGGATTTTATGAAACATATTAAATGAAAAATAGTCTCCTTTCCTTCTATCTATGTCTTGATCTCCTAAAACGAGTTTAAGTTGGTAAAATCAAGACAAACAACCTTTTTTATTTTCCTATGGTTACAAGGTGACAACCCTGAAAGATTTCTCATAAAATGACTAAATTTTCAAAATGTGTGTGTAGCGGCGCTGTCGTCGCGCCACAAGCGAAATACACCGAAGCCTAAATCACGCTATCAACATTCCGAATCATAAACAGTATATATAGAACATCTCCGAACTGTCACACGGAGTGTGAGCCGCTCCCCGGGCAGAACACCTTGCCCGGCGGGAGATCTCCCCTTTTCCAACTTCGGCCACAGTGGTGACCATTCGACGTGATCTGAACATGCAACCAAACAACCTTCGGAAACTTCAAGCTTCATCATCGTCATAGAACACCCCACCCATTCGCTCCCGAGCAGATATCGTCGTCTGCAGTCTTCATATCCTGCAAGCCATCTAGCTTCACAAGGTTCATCGCAGCACTGGAATAATAATGCTTCCTGTTCCTTCAAGCTACTCTCTGCGCTATACGGTGTTCGGCACGGCTCCGAGCCTTACTGCTCGCCTCTGCTTCAAGGCACTCTCGCAGATTACTTGCCTTCTTCTCGACTCACCGCAGACTACAAGGCAATCTCCTGGCACTTGCACATTCGTCGACAACTCGACTGCACTATCGACCTCCTGTCTGAGCAGGGGGGTGATGTAGCGGCGCTGTCATCGCGCCACAAGCGGAATACACCGAAGCCTAAATCACGCTATCAACATTCCGAATCATAGACAGTATATATAGAACATCTCCGAACTATCACACGGAGTGTGAGCCGCTCCCCAGGCAGAACACCTTGCCCGGCGGGAGATCTCCCCTTTTCCTACCACGGCCACATGTGCTTAAAATTGCCTACCCTCTCAATTAAAAAAAATTAAAAGTTTTACACTATAATGTCATGGATAAGTAGTAATAATAAACCAATACTTTATGGGAGCAAAATATGTTTATTTAGAAACGCACTTTAAATTGCCATAGCCTAGGCAAAGTAAAGGAAATGCCACTAACTTTGCCTGGATATTTCGAAGCTTATTTCTCAGAAAATATGAGGCGTAGAAGACTATAGTGGCTTATTTTACTAGTCGCCCACATTTCTGATTTGCATTTTTTCTTTATATGTCATATATAATTTTTTCTATACCTATCAAGAACAAACACAAAAACCTCTAAATTCGTGCAAAGTTAGGGCATTTTACGGTACGCGAACATTCCGGGTTTGATCCCCGCCGGCACCAAAATTGTTAATTGCAATTTTAAGTGCTATTTACCGCGTGTTTGGTGAGAAAACCTACATGTCTGATAAATAAGAAAACATATTTCAAAGACATGTGAAGTTCGCCAACACGCATTAAGGCAGCGCGGCGGACATATCCTTGCCCTAAAACCTTATCAAAAATGAGAGGAGACCTGTGCCCAGTAGTGTGACGTATATAGGCTGTAACTTTAACTTTAACTGAGAGTCATATTGCGTGCGCGGTGTTTAGCAAATGTTTAAGTTTTAAGTACGTATGTGTTTTTAGTATATTTTGTTGAATAGTATTTATTTGTATCTTATACATATGCAATATTCATTTTCGTTTCAGATACAGAAGGGCACGTTATGGTGAGAAAAATATTATATGGAGGCATTGAGCTATTATGTACTACGTACTAGAGGCGACACTGCATTCAGCTACTCTGTTCCACTCAACTGCGGTGCATACACCGCACTTTAATCAGTCACTCGCTAGGCGCTTGTAGATTTGTCACGTGTTGTGTTGATTTAAAAAAAATCTCGTGATAAAAATATGTCGTGCGTACTTAGATATTACACAAATAATTCAAGAAATGTCAGTAAAAACCAAGGAATTACTTTTCATTGGTTAATAAGATACTTAATCAATAAAAAAGTATTATAAATTAGTAATAAAACAAATTATTCCTAAGACGCCATCTCGTGTCACGTAATATAGATTATGAAATTAATTTGTTCAGATGCGACATTACTGTGGGTACTTAAGTATTGGATGAATATATTATTATACACATTTTTTTTGTAGAAACGTATGAGTTATCATAATTAGGCAAATTTTTTTATATTTAAATCTGCTAATTATTCTTATATTTTATTTTTAGGTTTCCACATCAAAGTCAAAGTGGAATAAATTCGTCAATTTTTAACTCTCGCGTGCCCAGTATTTATAAACGACACTTATTCTAATTTAAATAAATATATTTGTAATTTAAATGTTATCTTAACAAGTTTTGTTACACATACATTTAATATGTTTTTTTTTTGGATATTTGAGATAGATAACTTTTAAAATATTGAGATAAAAATCTCATTAAAATGTAGTTGTGATATAATATTATGTTATATTATATTAAATAATCAAATGTAATATACAAAATAAATGACAAAATTTAAAAAATTGTTCTCGATATAATTTACCTATTTAATTAACAGTGCAATCAATTATTACCTACTGATCATTCTACAGTACCTATGTTTATTCTATGATAAAAAAACCAACCGCGGGAACACAGAGTAGCGCACCTTTTTTTGTTGAAATAGCTGTTCTAGTACGTAAGTACATATTACTTCAAGGTCGATTTCACAAGTCGAATTAATTTGACACTTTTTTTTTCGCTTTGTGCAAATACCCATTTTATTGTTATCTGACGGTCCATAACGTATACTTTTATGAAGTTAGTACATCAGGATGTAAAATCACGCGTATGCGTATCTACTCAAAAGTGACAAAAAATCAAGATCAAGGTAACACGAATGAGTCACCAGGGAATACGAATGAAATTCTCATAACACGAATGAAGTCTGCATGACACTAATGATATTGGGTAACTAAATCGCATACTTCACGATTATAATATTGGGTACGTAGTACTATCATGTATTCTGTGCTATGTCTTTTTTAATAATGCACAAGAATATAAGTATGTTAGCATTTTTAGGTGAGAACAAAATCACTTTTATTAAACTTTTAATCAAAAGACTTTTAAAAACAATACAAAACAAATATTAAGAATACACGATTACGTAACATAATTACTTCTGCACCAGTCACAAATGGCCTCAAGATCTAGATTTAAAATGTCGATCGCGTTAACCTCTGCTGGATCAATCCGAGCGTACAGGTGTAAATCGTCAGCATACAGATGGTAGGAGTATTTGAAATTCACAGTTATGAGATTTATAAAAATAGACAATAAAGGAGAAAAAATTCCGCGTTACAAAAAAAAAAAAAAAAAATGGAGAAGTCAATACGAGAACCGTTAATTCATCCATACCCTCTCGTACATCATCATGAACTTTAAGGAGAACAATGGTTGTACTATGACCAGGACGAAAATCTGATTGTAAGGGACTAAGAAGATTATTTTTATAAATGTAGCTGGATAGCTCTTTGTATGCAGCTGATTCTAAAATCTGAAAGAAAGGAAAGTATAGAAATTGGTCGAAAATGGTTAACAGAATTGGGATTATTTAACTTGGGATGTGGAAGGACAAATGTTTTACGCCAAAAAGATAGAAAAACCCCAGTAGAAAAAGAAAAATTGATGATGTGGGTAATGATTGGGAGAATATTTTCAAGTATGGGGATAATAATATTTCTACTCACATCATGATAGCCAGCTATTTTAGATTTAACGGAAAAAATATTTTTTACGAAGATCTTCATCAGTTATTGGAGAAAAAGCAAAGCAATTTGCGTCGATTTTGGGAAGTGATGTGATAAGAGAAATAGTTCTATGTTTAATTCAATTATCGACTTTAGTTGCCGAGGAGAAGTGCTAATTAAGATCACTGAGAGATATTGACCCCATATCAGGGCAATTCTTTTGTCTACCTGACTCAAGGGAATTAAGAAACTTCCAAGTGCCGGCTGGCGAAGAGCTTATAATATTGTTATGGATATGTCGGCGTTTTGCAGCTCGAACCATCTGATTGCATCTGTTCCTGGTAGTAGTAGTAGCTTTATATACATTCCAGTTGGCATCACAGCGATTGTTTTTAAATCTTACAAAAGCCCGGTCACGTTCTGCCATTGCTTTGCGGATGTCACTGTCCATGCACGGTGCTGCGGGCGCTTGACTAACATTGCGGA